CAGGGGGCGCCCCCGGCCCGGCCGCGCAGGGCACGGTCACTCCCGGGCCCCGTCCCGCCGCCCCCGCTCAGGGGCTGCCGCCGGCCCGCGCCGCGCCGTGCTTCTCGGCGAACCTCCTGCGGGAGAAAGCGGCCTCAGGCACGGCCGGGGGCTGGCCCGGCACCGGGAACCCCAGCGGGAGAACTCCCAGCCTCGCCCGGAGAGGGGATGGGGTGGGAGGGAGGGAGGAGAGGACCCCCAAGGGCCGTGGGGGGGCAGGGCTGGGGTGACCCTCACGCTCCCCCCGCTCTCCCGGTGCCCGGAAGGTGTCACCGCCCGGCTTTCGGAACGGCGGCTTCCCCGTCATGGCGGGGGCAGCCACCCAAGGCGGGACACGTCCCGGCAGGGTCCCTGCCCACAGCCAGCGTGTCCCTCCCAGCGGGAGCAGCGCAGGGCAGAGGGGAAGGGGAGCGGAGCTGCCGGTGAGAAGCTGTGACTGTCCCCAGGCGCGGGACGGACCACGCTCCAGGCAGGAGAAGGTGCCAGAGCAAAGACAGACACCACCTGGGAGAAGGGAGAGGTGACACTGCAACGCCACCGGACTCCGAGGAGCACCACCCTGACCAGACAGACACCCAGCTCCTGCCACCTCCTGTGCACGACACCTCCAAAGAGAGGACCGAACCCTGCTGAAAACACCAGCTCCTCCCCCAAAAAGAGCCAGGTCTGGCTGAACGGCCAGGACTTTCAGCAGCCCGGGCAGAAGGCAGCACAAAACCAAAACACTCGGCCAGCCTTTTTCCATCTCAAACTGGCCAAGCAACGGGGGCACCACTGCCTTTCCAAATCTCCACTCAGAGAAGTGCAGAGGTCACTGCTCCAGAGCCAGAAGAGCCTCAGGAAAGGGAGATGGAAGAGCAGGAGGCAGAAGAGCAGCAAAGTCAGGCGGGGGCAGCCACAGGAAAGGGTTTCCGCCCCCTTTTCTTTGCTGTTGGACAGATCGTGCCTTGGTGGACCCAGCAAGAGCCCTCAGCCATCCCCGGGCTGGGTTAACAGGTCTCAGGGACAACAACTCCAAAGAGGGAGCCCGACACTCTCTATGGCACAGGACTATTCTGAGGTGTCATTCCTCGAAGTTGAGATGGTCTTTCGGGAAAGACAGACCTGTTCAAATTAAATTCCTGGTGACTAAGAGCTACCCGCAGTCACCTAGGGCCAGCCCTGTGGAAACGGGCACTTAGAATTGTCCAGCTTCAGCTTCCAACCCTGGGGATTTGCTAAGCTTTCAGTAGTAGGAAGAAGCTGATGGAGCGTCCAAAAGCCACCGAATCTCAAAGGTTCAACTTATCCCTGAGCCTCTGCAATCTTCTCCCAACTCCCGGAGCACTCCAGTGCAGTGTCCGTGTGTGGCACCAGACGGGTTCTCCTCTTCCCAGCAAGACCCTACGGAGGGAGGAGACCCGACCCTGCAGCAAGCAGCCCTCTGGTCACTATGGACTGAGCCAAACGCTCCATTATCTCCACCATCTTCTACAGCACCTTCTGAGGAGTCAGCCAGCCTCAATGGGAGACACCCACACACCGAGAAGCCATCATTTCTGCTGGAAGTTTGTTCCACAGATTAATAAATTTCCTTTTTTGGGAACAACTACCCTGTTACCTGTGTAAAGCCTGCCCACCTGCGTACAACTTCTAACCAGCAGTTACTATTCTGCTTTTCTCTGCCAGCCTTTCAGAACCTGGTTCCTTCACCCAGAATTATATATAGTGCCCCACCTCACTCACAGTAAGTTTAACAGACTTAACTTCCCCTCCAAACTAATTCTGAATTTTCTGTCTCTGTTCTATAAAAAGACCCAGACACCAGAACTGGACGCCTGTTCCACTATTTGCCTCATCCAAACCAGGCACAGAGGTCAAACTCGCTCCCTGCTCTCTGTCATTCGCCACTTACACCGAGAAAGACTAATTGCACTGTCTTGTCTTGATTGCAAACAGCAAACTTCTTTCTAAAATGAGCGTGCCATAGCGTCAATACCAATTTCAAAGAAATTTACAGTCCCGCAATGAATTCTATCAGTCAAGTTTGCTACATCGAGAAACGAAATGAGATCTCGTTTTTGCTAAGCCCCACTCCTCAGCAGCTGTGCTTCAGGCAAACAGCTTCCATCCAGCCTAGTCACAAAAACCCAAAGCCTGGTGGCAATTCAGGAGACAAGAGTGCTTCCAAGGAACGACGAGGGGCTGCACACTTGGCAGAGGTGAAGCAGACAAACATCTGCCTCCTGCAGCCCTGCTTCACTGCCTCAGCCCCACTGTGGTGGCCCAGAGGAGAGGAAGGGGAGGACGCAAAACCAAGCAAGGGCTGACCCTTGCTTGGGGCATATCTGGGTACCGCTGGGGACGGGGTGTGGGGACTCGGAGAGGGTGAGCTGTGGGTGGACTCTCACCTCCTGGCATAGTCGTACAACGCTCGTTTCCGCTCCTGCAAGGACAGATGCCGCTGCACAGGGGATTTAGCGAACTGCTTTGTAGCTGGCTGGAAGAGAAAGCACAAGAGCCATCAGGAGACAGTTAAAGAAAGCCAGGAGACCTCCTTAGCAGCTTTGCAAGGACACAGCCTTCCAGTTTGGTCTCCAATATAAAACACTCCGTTCCCCTGACATCATGGCTAGTCCTGAACACAGGCCATCAGGCCAGAGGAAACAACACAACCACTCAAGTTACCTTGGAAGAAGGCATAGCTACGGAGCCCTGGATGCCAGAAGCAGCTGCAGCCTGGGAGGTAGACGGGGCAGGCAGGTCAGCACCAGCCTCGTTACTTTCAGGGAAGAAGGGTACTCTCCCCTCCAGCAAGTTGGCAATGGTGGTATCCACACAGTTGGTTTGGGCTGTAGGGACAAAGAGGATCTGTTAGAGAGGGAGCTGCTACATCATGACACCCACATCCTTGCTGCAACCGTGCTCCACAGTACAGCAGGGACAAGGTTTCTGCTTTCAGGCATCACTCACCCAGGTCTACCCTGATGACCTCCAGAGGCACATGAGGCAGCACCTCTTTGACCCGCTGAGCCATTGCCGTGATCCGCACATCCTCAGGAGCAACACCAGCCAGGCTGGAAGGCATCCTGGGCCTGGCTGCCAGGGGCTGGCTAGAGGCTGCAAGAGAAACAACAGTGGGCACAAGAAGGTGGCCTAAAAGTGCAGAGCCCTCAAGTTGTAACAGCTCCGCTTTCTCAAGTATGAAGTGGTGTGATACAAAAGCTGGACTTCCTGCACACCACCATCATGTCTGTGCTCAGGAGCTGCCATCCTCTCCCTGCCAGCCAGCTACAACCCCCAGCCTGGAGCATGCAGGCAGCCCCTGCTCCCCAGGAGGATGTCAGACATGCCTTCTCCTCTCCCTCCACACAGGAGTAACCAAGAGCAGACTGAGGCCTCCCCAAGGGCAAAGCCCATGTGGCAGTTCCATAGTCAGGACACCACCGAGGACACCTACCTGGGGCAAAGGGGAGAAGCGACGTGTGTCTCAGCCTCTTCATGTGCTCAGTTTTATCTGCTGCAGTGAGCCGTGTGGATACCACACCCAGCTCCATGGCCAAGAGCTGCAGAAATGCAGAGAAGAGTCACATGTACACGACCCACAACACGCATGACCCAGGCATTCCCATCTTGCAGGGGAGTGTATCAGATGTACAGGCCTGCGTGGAGCCACGTCGAGGGGAAGAGGACTGGGAACTGATTTCTCCAGGGCCTCAATGATGCATTTCAGTGTTGCATGGAGCACATGAAGGACCAGGAGTAGACAATATCATCCTGACAAAACAGGCTGACAGGGAGATACAAGATCTTTGGTACAGGAGCTATGAAGCACCCAGCACATAAGGGAAAAGTGGAGAAACAACCGCTTTACTTGATTTATGGTATTATGAAAAGGGAGCAAAAAGTTTGAACTAGATGGGGAGAGCCTTGATAACTGGCAGAAAGGATAATGGGGCATAGCAAAATAGGCCATGGAAAAACTGAATAAGGGGCAATAAATATGGGCCAGAGTTCCCATTGTATAAATACACCCATCCAGAAACGCCCTTTGCAATGCTGCTTGCACCCCACTCTCCTCTGTGACCGTCCCAAATTCCAGCAGTCCTACACATCCCTCTCCCAAGTCATCCTCCTACCTCCTGAACTCGGAGCGCAAAATCCTCACTCAGTTCTTCAGCTCGTCTGGGGACAGACGGCATCCACCTGAATGGGGACAACAGCACTGGGCCGACTGCTTCAAGGGCTGCTGGAGGAGCCAGCCCCATCTGGGATCAATA